TCGACGATTTTTTATCATGCCCAGTTTTTTTTTTTTTTTTTTTTTTTCAGAAACGTCAGCATCTTATCTTGTTGCCACTTTCATCGATGTCTGAGATTAAGTACACGGACGTGCGCTGCAAGCAGATCTCATGTCTCGTGAACGTGCTGCGATCTGCAGGCCAGCAGCTTACTTCCGATCAATGGCCAACTGTTATTGAAATTGTTCGCTCTGTTGTAGGAGGCAAATTGAAGTTTGTCTTCGTTCACTTCTTCAGCACTTTATTCTCGAGATATTGACACTGTGGAATTATTAATGGAAATTTGACAAAAATGTTTTTTAGTTACGACAGTGTTTTGGTTATACAGAGTTATGAAGCAGTTGCATTAATGATTGCTGATTTTCTGGAAATATTGCCCCTGGACTGTATACAATTACTGGTTGAAACCGATGCGAAATATGGCTCGCAGCAGTCCGAGCTGAACATTTCCCTTTCAGCACTGGGACAGCTGGTGAGTCTTGCATACCACTCGTCTTCGTAAACGCAAATCTGGCTACATCTACTAACATTTTTCTGTAGAATAATTCTGAGGGATGGAAAAGGACTGGAATTTCCGAGTTGAGGACAGTGTGAAAAAGCCGTATTAAACACCGCAACTGTAAGAAGCTGGAACCTCCTCTGCTTGCTCTGCGTGAGCTTAGGCTTGACCATCCAGGCACTTTTAGTGATGTAGCAGTGGCCGGTTTTTGTTGGTAGGAAAATATTTTAAAACTTGAAGAAGACAAGAGAAAATAATATTATGGAATTAGTAGAAGTAAAGTATTATAATGGTAAGAAATGCTTCGGTCTATTAAGTCTTATACATTTTTTACCATTACCACAATTGGACTTCGTCATTACGACGATTGTGGTAATTGGTGTAAACATAATTTTAAATAGTTATGTTAGAACGAGTTATATGGAAATAAGTAAAAGTACTCGTTAGTAAAAGTTATGGTGTGTAAAATGAAGTAAAATCTTACCGCAAATGGGATTGCTGGTTCCATATCCAAATTAAAATAAATTTCGGCGTGAATCACTTATAAGGCTATTTATTAATATTAATAATATTAGTATGAAATGTAAATAATTGTACATGAATATACATAGTTTAAATATGTAGGTAATTGTGTATTTTTTTATAGCATGATAATTTGTTTTGCCTCAAACAATCGTTCCTGTTTTTTTTTTTTTTTCCATTTAGCTGATCCGTCCCATAATTAGCGCTTGGAGTTGGGACGGATGGG